AACCTATAATAACAAATTCAACATGCTAGCATAGTTTAAGTGTATATCCCATACATCCTTAATTAATTGAACACCTTAGATACGAAAAATTCTATGACTCACAGCCGGCTGGAAACACCGCTGCAGTTTTCTTTCACAGATGTAATGTTATACCGCAATTAAGTAAACGGGCACAGCTGTGACTTCGACAGCAATAAATTCTTTTTCGCTGGAACACGTCCGCTGGATGTAAACTTTAAATAGCTGTTTAGCACTCATTAACGATTTTATTATTCATGCGGTTCGACGCACCGAGCCAATTATGCAAACGTTCCTCGTTTTAACGTGAATACGTGTTCAACTTCGGTCTGTACATAAATTGAAGTTCAACGAGATTTAGAAAAAATTATATGAGCCAGTTTTATAGGTATGGTCGAGTGTTACTTATTATATGCAGATTTTATGCATTTGTACGATACCTCTATGTGCAAAGAATAGAAATACTGCATGTAATGTATAGAAATATAGAAAATATCGAAAGCAGAATTGATACTATCATATTTGAACATGATAAAAATCGTTTAGAACACATTCTTCAAACTGGTACCGCTTGAGATATGAAAAGAAGCAGCAGGTCGGAGGTGACGATAATATAAAAAATAAGCAGTTATCGTTGCACTCGTACAATGTTATCGTGACAATATCGTTCTAGGTGAAACGGTGACGTTTATTAATACGTCCTACCCAGGGGTCAGGATTACAGCCTTGAGCTGATTGTTTGAACGATGGAAAAAATTGCCGCAGACCGAGTGCACAGTCTATCGTTTGAACGATCTCAATTCTAAATAAAATTGCATCCCATAAACGAAAATGATCGAAGGTCATTTGCAATTCAGTAGTAGAGTAAAAATTAAGTACATCGAATGTACGAATTAATTAATACTCTTTTCTCCATGAATTTTCTCCAATTAATTCGCACACCTGATGCTTGAGACACTTATTTCAAAGATCAGGCTTGTATTTAAGGGCGATCGATCGACTTACCTATAAACGCCGTAGTGTTTGCCGCTGGCACGGTCACCGCAGATCGAGCAGAGGTGTTTGCTTCCGGAGAGAGGGTGGTTCGGCGGGTACGGGGCGATTGCTTTGTTCTGGCCACTCGGCGACGTGCTCAGAAGGTTGCTGTGACAACCAGCGGTGAAGGATCTTACATGCGCAAAGAAAAGAGTAACAAAAACTCGACCTACGACACTACTGTCCCGGATTCAACAAAATACTTTCACTGTTTCCCAAAACATTATTACTGTAATTTCTCAAGATTTCTGGGAAGGCATATATGTATGACGAAACGTAAAAATTGCATTGTACAGTCGACAGCAAAAAGCATATAGAAATGTTAATGGATTGAAGGAAATTGTTATTAGATTTCATTTTTTAAATCGACAAAATTAATATTTTGCTCAATTTTCTTGAGGGCTACTAAACCATTCATATACTCTTCGTTTATAATATTTTTAATATCAATCCCACTGAAATTTTAAGCATAACTTACCCAGGACTGTTGGGACCGGAAGGGCTAAAATTTCCTGGATTAATCAGGCTCGCTGTGTCGGGCTTCATATCCAACGGGCTTTGCGGGCCCACGGAGGACATGGACATATTGCTGTTGTCTAGACTCAACCCTGAAACGAAAAACCGCGTTCCATTAAACGATGATTAAATATACAACAATTAATATAATTATATTAATTAGATGGATATATTAAACCAAATAGTATTGAAATTTCAGAGGAACTAATTTCGGATTCTATGCATAAATTAT